GTCGGTGTCTGTCATGAACATCTATGATCTATCAATCACTTATGTTACGTCACAGATTGCTAAGTAACTACTTACTACATTATCATTGTACAGTTCAGTCTTGTCGACAATAAACTAAGTCCGTCTGATCGAGTGTCAGTGATATATCTCTGAAAGTGTCTCATTTACCAGCTCTCAGACTGCATTCCACTTCCACAGAGCGATAAATCGTGGGCTTCCACAGAGAGACAAATCGTGCGTGCAATCAAACACATCGCTACACATTGTTTACCAACACTAATTCCAAACAGTGAAACGTCACCTTGATGATAGTCAGCACTGATAGTTTTAGACGAATCCACACGATAACAAGACCCAGGATTCATTTTCACATCATGAGCTAATAGAATCAACAAAGGAATGTAAAAACGATACACACATATATGAGTGAACCAAAACCTTCCATAATAACTCATTTGCCACGAGCGAATTACTTTTTTTAAAGTTGGAAGATATATTGCCTCCAGGTAAAACATAAACAATAGCACAGACCAGAACTTCCCTCTTACACGACTTGATTATTCTTTGGCTTTCAAAACAATGTTGTGTAACCCAACCGCCGCTCTGTACTGCATTAAAGAAACCATGATCTTAGCTACAGTTAACCAGTTCTGATCAAGACAAAACCCTCAGGTAGCTCACCTTTTCGTTACATTATTCTCCATTGCTTTCTGCTATCTCAAATGGTTTCACAGCGAACTTCTTCAATGCTCTTCTTCAATTCAAGTTCAATTTTACCAATATTTCAGCCCACAGATACGTTTAGATCAGGCGTAAATCCCGCGGGGGGTCTGGTACTCCCAGAAAAGTTGGGTGGGGGTGTGCGGCCCACTTCCCAAAACCCATACCCTATTTATGACCAACATCTGCGATTTTTCCTACCCTATCTATGACCTGGCTAAAAATTCAATACCCTATTTATGACCGTTGCGGCTGGCGCAGTTGCCTTAAATTTAAGTCATGAACGGCTTTTGTTGACGTTCTTATTGAAAACAAAGAAAAAGTAGCTTCTTCTAAGAAATATACCCAATTAAAGACTAGAGTGCTAAAACCATACCCTATTTAATTTGAAAAACTCACTCGTGCAAATTAATTCCAAATTGAACTCGAAACCGTATGATTACCTATACAAATTTAAATATTTTCGTTGTCATTGACCAATCACAGTGCGTTATTAGAGATGTTCTGACATGAGGTGACTTCTAAAAATAATTACAGAAAGCATCAAGAATTCTTAGAATTCAGTCAGTGTCTGCTCTGTTACCTAATAGTTTTGGTAGGAAACTGTCTCAAGAGTTGCTCTGTCGCTTTCTACTTTCCATTGTTGGTTGGCAACAGGAAACGCTACTCGTATGCTATCGATAATTCCACATATTCATCAACTCAATATATAATTCCGTTCTTACGTACTAGTCTCCACTAGCGCTACACTTCACTTCCTGCATGCACGCACCACTGAACCCTTGTTGTCATTAACAGTGATCAGCATCTAATTTATCCATGCACTATAAATAGCCTGTCAAACGGACAAGCGATGGGAATAATAATTAAAATCATCGACTGGTGGATGTACTTCAAATTACCAGACGAAACATTTAATCAAACATTTCAGGAAAACACGCAAGACAGTCAACTCTCCATCATGAATGACAACAAAATTTATTTTTAAGAACAATAATATAACAGCTACATTTTTTTTTTGCTTACAATGATAATTCTAGCATACAATTCAATTTATCGTTAATGATCAACTCAATTGTCATTACTTAATAAACTTGATGTACACTGCATAATAAACATTAATTTCATTAATTTCCCACTAAGCTTTCCGCTGTCTACAATAATAATTATCGTCTAAGTTTTGAATATATAGTTATAACCACAGCTAACGTGTCAGGCAATATAAAGTATAGTAAACAATACTAAAGGCCTGAAGCAGTATGTTGAACTATATACTGCCTTTGAGTTTTTGTTCGTAGAGTTGAATTGAGCAGCCTGTATGTTTTCACTTTAGTTTCTCATTAATTCCATTTTAATTTACCACCTTCTATTTACAAAAACAACCACATGTTATAGTTCTATTTCTTTTTTTCTTTTTTTAATAATATATTTTTTGCTAAAACTCGTATCTGACCGGTCATATATTTTGTTACGGGTACTTAATTTAACTTTATTACTGAATAACATAAAACCAAAAAAAAACTGTTTGGCATGGCCCCAAAGCAGGGGTTTTGGAATCCTCACGGGATTGAAGCCTTGAGCTCAAGTGAGACTTCGCGTTCTTCTTGAAGCCCAGGGCAAAGTGTCGATCCTCGTGGAATCTTGAGGCAATGCAATTTAAAGGGGCTTCGCTTTTCTTGTTTTGTTTTTCTTAAGACCTAAACATCTGTTAGGCACTGACGTGGAAAACAAACCGAGGAAGAGATTTCCAATCGGGCGAAGAATGTGGATTGTAAAAGTGTATCCGACGAGGCTTCAGGCTTAAAGTGATAGATGAGCGTAATGGGTTATTCTAGTATCTGAACCCGGTTGTTATCTATATCGGTCACAACTATCCTTCCATCACTTAGAAATGCAGACGAACTTGGTCCATCAAACTGCCCTATTTCGCTACCATTCTTCCCAAACTTTCCTAAAAACTTCCCGTTCAACTCAAAAATTTGGATTCTGTGATTGTTTCTGTCACAGACCACGAGTTGTCCTGTCTTGGTAAGTGACAACCAACGAGGTGTCTTAAAGTCCCCGTCACCCTCCCCCTTCTTTCCAAATGCGTGCAAAAAATGCCCATCGCTATCAAACACTTTTATACAATCGTCATAAATGTCTGAAACTATAAAATATTTGTCATATTGGACACAATGAAGGGGTCTCGACAAAGTACCATGACCTCCAATTTTACGTAAAAACTTGCCACTGGGGGAAAATATCTTGACAAGACGATTATCTTTGTCGCCAACAATGATATTCCCGTCCTTATCCAAACTCACACCATGGGGATAGTTAAACTGGTGATCAAGAGTTCCTCTGCCACCGAAGTGGCTTAAGCACTCACCCTGCTCGCTAAATAATTGGACACGGTGGTTATCCACCACTATAATATTTCCATTCTTATCAAAAGTTATGCCTAAAGGAAAGTTAAATTCTCCTGGCTTTTCACCCTTTCTACCAAAAGATCTTAAGTAAGTCCCGTCACTATTAAAGACCTGGACCCTGTGATTATAAGCATCAGTCACTGCTATCTCGTCTCGATCATTTACTGCCACCCCCCAAGGTTTATTAAACATTCCAACAGACGCACCTTCTTGTCCAAATGATAGCACGGGTCTGAATGGACGGCTGGGTTTGACCTCAACCGCAAACGGACTGTTACGAACATCTTCGCCATTTACTTTCACTGATGCGTTGCATTTTCCTGTTTCTTTGGCAACATAGGTGATCTTGTAGGTGCCGTCTTTGTTATCTTGGACTTGCTTTTTCGTGGCACAGTCATGGCCTTGATGATTTTTGAGTTGCAGTGTTACGCAGTCGTGCTCTTCGTGGCGTTGTTCTCCCTCAGAATTTCGTGTGGTCAAAACAAATTCTGCCTCAAGTCCCACAACAGCTCCTTTAAGTCCTTTTCCTTCGGCACTTGACTGATGCGCTTTAGTCTTGCTAGGAATGGTTTTGAATGAGCCGATTCCTTCAGTGTTTATTTTGTCCATTAATGTTTCGTTTTCTGAAAAAATCAGTTGAAGAAGAACGTCAAGGTCACATTCAAATTCACTTTCAGTCATCTGACTCACTTCTTCCGCTAGGATTGTGTTAAATGACTTAGCTAACTGTGCAATTTCAGCGATTGTACTTCGTTTTAAAAGTGTTTCAGTTTCCTCAATTGCTGTCTCGCTCATTTTCACTTGGTGTTCAATTTCACTCTTGTGTATTACAATACACTCGAGTGAGCCTTCTGCCGCAGCTTCTACTTTCTTAAATATTTCCTTCTTCTTCGCTTCGATGAGTGTGGTCATCATTTCAGCAAATTTCTCTGCGTCTCGTTTTACGATTGCAGCTTGTTCTTGAATTCGAATACAGCTTTCGTCAAGCATAGCAATTTTGTTTCTCTTTAGCTGTGCTTTTTGCTTTTGGGACTCAATTACAGACTTCACTTGTAACTTTCGTTCATCTGCAGCTTCTTCCAAGGTTATCTTGACATGGCCGTCGTGAAGCGTTACAACACAAATGTTGCAAATAGCAACTTCACAGTCCTTGCAAAAGAACTTCAGCTCTTCTTTCTCGTGGTGTTTCTTCGAGCAAAATGCTGGACGCTTTAAAACATTCTCAAAGTCCTTGTCTTGAAAGTCTTTGAGCGCCAACACGCGGTGTTCCTTATTGGCTTTGATGCCATTATGAAGGCTTATACAGTTGGCTTCACACCAGAATACACAACACTGGAAGCAGTAGAAACTCTTCGAGCTCTTCTTGTCACAATTTCCGCATTGTACGCCAGTGGTATTACACTCTTTTATTGCCAACACATCAAGCAAACTATTGACTCGAAAGTTGGTGGGCAGGTTGTTGAGGCTTCCGCTAGGGACTTTGCTCTCTCTTCTACACTCCGGGCATGTTATGATATCCTGGCGGCCACTCGCTCGTTGAATGCCCTGCAAGCAGTGAAGGCAAAAACTGTGTA